GGCAAGATGGAGCGGCCTTTGGCCTTTCTCGTCTGCCGCCTCCTTGTCAGCGCCGCTGTCCAGCAGCGCCCGCAGCGCTGCCACCCAGCCGTTGGTTGCGGCAAGATGGAGCGGCCTTTGGCCAGCCTCGTCTGCCGCCTCCTTGTCAGCGACGCTGTCCAGCAGGGCTCGCAGCGCGCCCACCCAGCCGTTCATTGCGGCATAATGCAGCGGCGTTCCGCCAACCTGGTCGGCCGTCTCCTTGTCAGCGCCGCTGGCCAGCAGCGCCCGCACTGCTGCCACCCGACCGTTCATCGCGGCAAGATGGAGCGGCCTTTGACCCGTCTCGTCTGCCGCCTCCTTGTCGGCGCCGCTGTCCAGCAGCACCCGCAGCGCTGCCGCCTGGCCCTTCATCGCGGCATAATGGAGCGGCGTCCGGCCCTGCCCATCAGTGGCGTCTTTGTCAGCGCCGCGCTTCAGCAATGCCCGCAGCTCTGCCACCCGGCCCTTCTCGGCTGCGCGATGGAGCGACGTCATGTGATGGGCCCTCGCGACAGGAATGCCATCCCCGCCGCCCCTGCGCGGGGGGTGGCGATGGTGCACGGCAAGGCACAGGGATTGCCGTGGGTGATCGCGTGCGCGTGGCGGCACCCCGTGCAGAAGCGCCCTTGACAGAGGGGGCAGTAGCACATACGTGTCTGACAACTGCTCACAATTCCATGTGAACACGTGTAAAGTACAACTTGCAAATTTGTGCTCAGCTGGTTCCGACGACACGACGGGCCACCACAGGCGCACCTATACGGTATATCCTGCACAACAGACACGAAATGATAGAGGTCTAACTGAAGGTTTTTGAACGGGCGCTCGCACGGGCGATATGATATGAGCATGCAGTCAGCTTGGCTCTCGGGCGGCCTGCGCGCTGGCTCAGGCTGGTGCGCTCAACTCAAACTGGCTCGCTGCAAGGTCAAGAGGGTCAAGGGGGCGGAAACAGAAAGTGGCAAGAAGCCTCATGCATATCATCGATGGGTACCGGTGGAACGGGTATGAGCGGGGATGCCCCACTCACTCTGAGCACACCGCTGCTTGCCACATCTGCTGTGCGCGGTGCCTACGGTGGTGACCACTCTGGGCGCCCCACGGTGATCAAACCCTCGTCAATGCATGCATGCTACAGTATGAGGTTATTTTGTGTATATCATCGATAACTCAAATAAATACATCTACGAGCATCCAGGGGTTGGGACAGCCTCCTCCAGCACGGTGTCATTAGACAGAAAGCTGTGGCACCGCGCCGAGGGTTGTGCAGCGCTGGCGCGGCGAGGCAGTCCGTGCATCATCAGTAGTCGCTGCCGCGGGGAGCTCAGGGGCATCCGCAAACCCATCACGCGCGCCTACGTCCTGCTCGCCGCGCAGGCGCGCCGCGGCCCCGCCCGCACGAAAGCCGCGGCCCCAGAGCGCCGCGGACTGTCGAAGCGGCTCGGCCGCGGCGCCGCCAAGGCGATGGATGCGACGCGCCTTGATTGCTGAAAACCAGTTCCTTACGCCCCCATCCGCGCCCCCATCCCCCTCCTCTTGACTTCCTTCCCCCGGGTGCCCCCTGCGCCTGCGCCTGCGCCCGCGCCGACGCCCCCATTGCGGCCCCCCGCCCTCTGCCCAATCGCAGCTAGCAGTCGCAGCTAGCAGCGGCTGCATTCGTGCAAACCCGGCCGACAGCATTGGGGGGGTGCCATCACGCTTGACGTGATCGATGGCTATCACGTCGATTGTGCCAATATGCCGGGGCACCATCATGCGGCCTGCTGGCCGCCTGAGTCCCTCTTTTCCTTCCTTGTAGCGCATCGCATAGCTTTGATGAGGTGAGTGTCGGGGTTTTACCGAGGGTGCCCGTGCTCGCAGGTGACGAGGGCGGGGCGGTGCTGAGGCAGGGATGGGGTGTCACAGTGGCCGGGACGCTTTGATGTGCGGTGGTAGGGATGCTGTTCGGGTGGCGTGGGTGCTCGCTGTTGACCGGCTGGTCCAGACTGGGTTGCCTGCGGGCAGGAACTCGCCTGCTTCCGATCAGATCGTCATACAGGATGAGCTACAGGTGGGCGGTGGTGCGCGCCTGCAGGCCTGCCTTGCATCAATTGCGCCAGTGCTGCTCGATTTGATCAGGCAGTGAATGCGTGTGCACCATGAAGCCACACGGGACCCTCTAAACCTCGCAGACCCGTGACAGCTCAGCTTTCAAGGCGTCGTTTTTCGTCAACGTGACGCACGAAAGCAAAGGTGGCTCATGAATTTCCTGGATAAACTTCCAGGCACACATTAAATGGTAGCGTGATGGTTTGAGACTGTTGCGCACGTGTTTGCGTGGTGAAGGTCTTCAAGATCACTAGATCCGGATCCGACATACCGGTGTTGTTGCAGATTCCAAGGCACCCGTGCTGGAACCGCGCATAGTCTGCAGTGAAGTCAGTCCCTCGGCAGCAGCGGGACGGCGTGTTGCCAGCATGTCAGCTTCTTCCGCCGTTGTGGCACCGCAGGCGCTGGCCGGCACCGCCGGCACCATCGCCGGCCACCCCAAACGAGCACCGGTCAAGGTGTACGATAGCCCTGCAGGAGAAGCTGCACTGAGTGCGCACTACGATGAGGTGCTGGCAGCGCTGCCCTTCCCCACTCAGTCGCGGTTTGTCGACACACGGGATGGCAGGGCACACGTGCTGGTGCGCAGCTGCGGTGCGGACCTGCATGCATGCCACAGGCGCGGGCGCATGCGGCCGCGGCCCGCTTGCATGGCACGTGCGCCACGCATGCGGCTCGCGTCCCGCCGCGCATGCGCGCCATGCGTGCCGCAAAGCATGCCATGTGCCGCTGTGCCTGCGTGCAGCCCACGCATGCAGTTATGCTCAACCACATGCACCAGTGAGGTTACATTCATGCGTTGTCCACGGCGGTGTTGGTGGCAGTGGTGGCGATGGTGGCGATGATGCGACATGCTTGCACCACAAGGCGGGGAGTCACCAACAGGAAGGCGCACAGTGAAATAGTGCACCAGAATCCATGCCGGGCCCGCTCGCTCGCACACTTTGAGGGCTCGACCGTGAGCACGCGCCGCCCCCGCCGCCCCCGCCCCCCATCAACAAGGTGGCGGGCGCCGAGGCGGGGCGCGCGCTGGTGGTCTGGCACGGCAAGGGCTTCCCGGGGGCCCACATGATGTCGCTGTGCGGGAAGCTGGTGGAAGCTGGCTACAGGGTGTACCTTCCGGACGAGCCCTGTGACGGTGGGTGCAGGGGTTGTTAGTTTTCTTTGCTGATCCTTTATTCGATTATTGCGGGATGGTACCTGCGCATTCAGCTGCTGTCGAGGTTGAGGCGGGGCTGTCTACAGATTGGTTAGCTGCGGCGCCTCGCGGGGGAATGGGCAGCGCTGGTACGGTGAGTCAGTCAAACCGTTGGCAGCGGGTACCAGCCCCTGGTGCCCCCACCCGCCTTGACCCGCCAGTTGACCTCCTTCTCCCCCCCTTGGGCCCGCCTGCGCCCGCGCCTGTTCCCGTGCCGCGCCCCCCCCCCCCCCC